TGACTAACAGCACCCGTTTCTGCTCTGGTCTCTGCTGCCACTTCGTAAGTGACTTGCCTGCCACTGGGACTGAAAAATTACCTGAAGAGAGGAAGCTGACTGAACTAGGATTTCAGATACATTAACAAACTCAGAAGAAAACATGAGTTTTCTTTGAGGTAAGACATCTTTTAAGAACAGTAGAATGTGTTAGAGAGACTTCTTAACAGTTAGTAGTGTGTAGCTGGACACTTGAGACCATTTTGAGTTTTACACTGGTTGTTGGAATGTTAAGTGATTGCAAATTAAGATTTCAGTTTGAAGCTAAAGTGAGCAATATAAAACTCTGTAATTGGTTTCATAACGTGAACCCAGTTGTGTGTTTGTTGTGTTCTTACTGGCTTGTGCCTTTTTAACACCGAAGGTACTTGGTATTGGCATGCCTAACCTGACAGTCTGAGAGTGGGAACTCAGATTCTGTCTCCTTCAACGGAACATTCTTGTAGAATAATATTAAATACATTATTTTGTCATAATAATACTTTAATAAACTCAGCTATAAGACCTTTTTTAAGATATTAGGATTCTGAAAAAAAATTACTGTTCTTAATCGACAGCAGCACATGGCTCTTTGATGAGCTTTCAGGGTTGAACGGTGTTGGTCTGTTCTGTATCTGCTGATCGTTTGCGCTGTAATTCATGCCATCTATCTTTTCTAATTTTGGATATAATGAGCTACAGTTACGTGTTTAGTGTACGTAGCTTGTGTTTTTGTGGGGAAGATTGTTTATGGAGCCTAAGCAACAGTCATGAAAACTGCATAAATTTAATTTAAGTTCCTGGAAGAGCTATGAACATGTATTCCAAGCTCTGCAGTAGCAGGCTGGTCAGCAGTGGTTGTCAGGTGCTAGACAGCAGCAGCAGGGTGAACTTGGAGTGGTGCTGGTGTTTTTAACTGTTGGCTCCTGCTGCTGATTTTTTTAACTGTTGGCTCCTGCTGCTGATTTTATGAACCAAGGAATGGTGTTGAAGCTTTTATTGGTTTAACTCATAAAAATTCAAAAGTTAAGAGAAAAAACGCAAAATACAGGAGGGAAATACGTGCTTGTGGGAATTACGGGAGATAGGAGAAGTTAATAAACTTGGTGGTTGTGTGCTGGCAGCTGGTAAGCACGGAGTGCAGTTCCTTCCCATGGTGTGATTCCCATAAGGAAGTTTAAAGGACAAAAGCCCTCATTCTTTCTGGGATGCTAAATCCCTGGCTGAGCTAATACCTTGCAGGGACCAGTGTAGCATCGTACTGAAGGTATAAGTTATATCGTGAGTTAATAACTGGTGGCTAATGGTTTTTTTGACCTCCATATTTATGGCTTCAATGTTATCACAGTACAGTATATGTGTTACTCTGAAAGAGTTGAATGGTACCCTGCCACATACAGATAAAACCTTCCAATTAAAGGTGTAAGAATGAGTTATCACAGTTTCTAAACAAAGTCATAACAATAGTAAACTAAAGGGCTTAGTGGAAACAGAAAAAAATGACAAAGCTTTCATCCTAGTCAAAAATATTTGCATGAGCTGGGGTATCTATGGGTATCCATGCAGTAATCAGTAAGTCAAGGGTTAAGTCCAGAAACTCTATTTTAGGAGTTAAAACTAAGAAAGCAGGCTGGGTTTGATTTTAAAAACTTCTGTCTAAAGGTGTGTTTGAAAACTTCTATTTAGTCTGTAGGTTTGCAAGGTAGATGATCTGCTTGAAATAGATAAAAGCTGAATGTTGATTTCAGGGGACAGTGTCTTTACCAGGCACATGTATTAAATCCAAATTTTAGTACTGGTTAGTGTCTGGTGTACTCTAATAAGCAAAAACATAATGAACTCTGAAGGATTTTACAGACTAAATTTGGTATTTTTTTATGAGTACACAATAGGCAGTTTTAGGAATTTTGATTCCGGTAACTTTGCTCTTGCTTGATATTTGTTTAGGTAAATGAACAGGCATTTTTGTCAGGTTGAGATTAAAATACTGAAGGGTTAATTTGAGTCTATAATCTGTTTCTCAATTATATTTGGAGAATACTTGTGGAAATAATATTTAAATGTGTCCTGAAGCAAGTATGAACACCATCATAGAAATACCAATGAGCCAAGGCTTATGATTTATTGGCATGGCTTATCAAGAACTAAGGGGTACTCTGACTCTCTCTTGCCTGAAAGTGTTGGGTTTTTTCTTACTCATTGCTTTGACTGTATAGCTGTTGTGCTTTGAATTCCTACTATAGAGCTGTCTCAGAGCTAACAAACATAGCTGAACCCGTTTCATTTTGCTGTTTGTACATCTTATGAATGGTTAGCAGATCTCTCTTGTTAAGCTGTTGCAAAGTTTTCCAGTTAATCTAGGAAACACTCTAACAACAGTGATAGACATCAGCGCAAGGACCTGCTGTTTAAAGTCAGGAAGAATAAACTGTCTTTTGAATTGTTAGGATGTCTTAGTCACCCTCAGGAGGAGGGTGGTTCCTGCACAGTATCAGATCTGTGATCTTCAAGTGTGAGGTTAGACTCAGCTGGGTGCCCTGGCACTAACCGGGTGCAAAAGGGGTGTATTTAGTCACCATCAGGGTGGGACCGTCTTAAAATGCATGTCAGGCAGCACCTCTGAGCCTCAAAGCAATTTCAGTAGGAGTAAGTGTGTCCTCAGCACAGTGTGGGCGAGTCTGGTGGTGAGCGCAGCTGGCTCCAGCAAGAGGCTGTGTGTAAAAAAAATCTCAGAATCCCAGTTTAGGAAAATGGGAGGTGATTCTTAGACATGAAGAGACAGAGTGTCTTCCACTTTGTTTTGTAAATGAGAAAGTCAGAAGCTGTACTATGCTGTTTCCACCTTCCCATAGAAGGAAGGGTTCTTCTGATTTTCGGGTTTTTCTGGCCAATTTGTTGCTCTTTATCGATAGTTTTATGTATTTTAGAAGCTTGTGTAGGGGAAAAATTCTGACCTGTGATGTTCTTGGCTTTTTTTCTAGATTTTTTTTTTTTAAAACATTATGCCTTAGCATGCCACTCTTCAGTCCTACAACACTTACAGATTGAATTAGATCTATTCTCCTTACTGCTCAGGCATTTCTACCAGTCCTAAGTATAAAAGCTGAGCTTTAGCCGAGTGGAAAAATTAGCAGTTGAGATGAGGTGGAGTTGTCTGAGGATAGACTAGTGTTAGCGGAGCTGAGGAGGATGTTACGTACAGTGTTTGAATGGTTTGTGTTGTTCATGGAGAAGTAGCCTGCCTCAGCTGCAGTGGGTGATGGCTGTGGTTCTTCTCCCACCAGGTACTCTCCATTCCAGAAAACTGAGCAGATACTGTACTGCCGGGAGGAGAAGGGGGCAGACATCTGATGTGCCATTCCTGTTCAGCCAGGTCCAGCTCCCGATTTTCAAATGCTTGTAAAGACAACCGATTGTGCCAAAAGCACTTGTAGCCCGCTTTTGTTGCTAGGTTGTACGTATGCGGAGGTTTGCCACTCGGTGCTTTTATATGTGCAGACTTGATAGGGAATCAAATAGGTGTAAGTTAGAAACTGAAACTTTTTGGCGGTGCAGGTGGGACTATTAGTAAGAGGCACATCCTGTTTTACATTTAATTAGTAGCTGTTACTCCATGGACGGCTCTGTTTAGGTTCAGTCTTCTTTTATTCCAGTACTTAATACAGAACAAATTAAAAATTTCACAAAAAGACATCTTTTATTTCAGAAAAGATCTAGCCCTGTCTTGACACCACTTTATTCACAGTAAGCTGCTGATACTAAGAATGACTGATTTCAGGCAAGATGTGATGACCAGGTGTTGTTTCTCTGTGGTTTTTTTCCCAAGGGTTCTCTTTGAACACTTGCTTCCTCTCATTACCGAGGTTGTTTGCGGGTGTGTGTAACTCAGTGGTGACTATAAACCTTGATAGGTGATGGAGGAGGACTGGTTAGTCTTGCTCCACCGAGTTTTGTGTGTCACAAAGCCTTCTCTAGCTAAGGAAAAGGCAGTGCTCATGGACAATATTAATCCATTCTCTGTTGTTTCTAAAAGTGGCACAGGTGTGTAACTAAATTTGAGTCCTTTTGGGCTTTTTGGTTTTGGACACTTTTGCTTGGGTAGGTTTTTTTTGTTTGTGGGTTTTTTCCTGTTTGGGTTTTTTCCTTTTTGTTTTGTCTTTTGTTAAAGGATGTACATGAGGGAAACCGCCCTGGAAATACTTTGCCTTTGTTAAAAAGTCAGGAATACTGAGAAGGGTGCTTGGAACGCTTTTCAGAGAAACAAGATACTGTAGATCTGTTGATTGGTAACTTATTGTGGATCAGCTTTAATTTGCTAATCGCAGAAATAGCTGCTTTGCCCTGGAGCTGTTAAAATTTATCTAGTACTAAGATCTGTTTCTGAATAAATATTCAGAGTTAGAGTGATGGAGGAGGCCAGGTGGTGCATATTTGAGGGGGGAAAATGGCTTTCTAACTAGATGGCATGTCAAGGATCGCCTTATGAACACAGTTGCTGTTGTTTTTAGGCAAGTGCTGTTGTTGCATCTCCTAGATGCAATGGCAAAATCGACAAAATATCAGAGTATGGTTTTTACTGGAGTTGTTGCACTGATGCTGGATTTGCAAGGCATTCACTGCTTAGTGGTAGTTCATAAAACCCACCTTCTGCTTTTAATACTGTGATTTTTACCATGGTATTGCTACCAGCAGATTTTGGAAGTTTATATCTTTGTGTTCTGCTATTCAGTGCTTCAAACAGTACTTCTGTGTAAAAACAAGTGCCTTGTTTTGTTCTTCCCCACAGTGTTTATTGCTACTGGAAGCGTTGCTATGTTAATACTGAAGTGCAGAGATTCAGCCATTATAAGCCTCTATTTTTCAGTACTTAAATTTATAGCAGCATTGCCCTCTAGAGGGCACTTCTTCTGACCATTTCAGTGGATTATTTTTTTATAATAGCTAAATTTCCATTAATTTGTATGCGATGCTCCTACTGTGTAGTGAACAAGATGCATCTACTGAAGGGCAGTTGTCTCCTTACCTGTCAGGAAGCGAGGTGCGGGATAAGAACAAGTGAAATGTTTGCTTCTGTTCTCTGAAAGGATGTAGCCTGCACTGTTGGTTTTTGACTGAATTGTTTCTGAAATAGCTGTTGGGCAAGAAGTCAAACTAATTAGATGATGTCTTGCCTGTGTCGGGTGCTCCTGTCCTAAAGGGCTTGCAGTGCGGTACCGTGGTGCACAGCGTTTGGTGTGGAAGATCCACCAGCAGAGTGAAATACAAGCAACTTGTCACTTAAGCTTGTTTTGAAGCTGACAGCAGAGCCTCGATAGGTTTAGAAACAATCTCCTGATCCCCTGTGGTGGATAAGTAGACATTAATGATGTGAGCTTAGTATTTTCTTAAATTTTTTTTCATACAAGAAAGGCTTTTGTTTAAAACAGGCTCCTTACCGAAATTGCTGTGTATAGTGAACCTTGTGTACCTGTATGCCTTGCATACCTTTTGTGGTGACCATCGCATACCTGTGTGTCTAGTGGAGAGGCAGCGGGAACACGTGTTTCCTGAAGTGCCTGGTAGAAAGTTTACAAACCCAACTGCTATCTCCTGAGTCTTTGTGTATTGTCGTGTTCAGTTTATCTCCTTGCTAAAAGCTGGTTGGTCAAACTTGCTGAACAGCTTGAGTAAACTGTATTACATACAGATTGTTGTCAGGTAGGTCAAAAATGCCAACTTCAGCATTTTCCATAATCATGCTGCTTACAAAAGAGTACCTGCAGTGCAGAAATCAAAAGGCAGTGCTGCTGAAATGATTTTGGTCGTGTTGCCTTGACTAAGATTACAACTTCCCGGTTGAGGTAGATTGTGCACTAAGAATGCTGACGTTCATGTTTCTACGTAAGAAGATATTAAATAGGGTTGGGGAAAAAATGGGTAATTGGTGAAAGGCACAATTCTGACTGACCTAAACAGTATCTTGAATATGTCAGATTTCCCCTGTGTTCTGAATTAGCTTGCACTGTCAGATGTCTAGAGATCGAGTCAGTGAACCCAGCTGAAGGCTTGTGGCAGCTCTGCACCCTGGTAACTGTGCCGCTCTGATAAGACTGAAGATCTGTTTAAAAATTTGCCATACCCTAAATAGGGGCTAGATAAAAATTAACTGTAGGTAAACTGCGTTAACACGTGACTGGAAAGAAGGCAAGTATTGTCTTTTAGAATGTGTTTCTTTGGAACTTCTTCAGATAGCGTCACTAGAATAGAAAAAGTAATTTGTCTAATATAACTGTATAATAATCTACCTATAGAATTCATGTGCTGAATTATAGCCGTAGGCTTTAAACATGCTGTTTGGGTAAATCCTAGAGAACTGCCTACTGTAATGCCATGAATGAGCTATGGTGACAAACTGAGTGTGCCTTGATGCCCTTTGCCGTGGCCTGAAGCGTGCTGGAGCATTGTCCATAGTCACTTTCTGGAATGGTCTCATCTTCCCTTAAGCTTTCTTCCAAAGCCTGAAAGATAGAGGAGAGTGTTAATTGATCTCTAGTGTGTGTTGAAATGAATGAACCTGAATGAACCTTGCTGGGTTTAGTCTGATGAAGAGATAAATCTACAGAAGATAAAAAATGTAGCATAAAAATTGAGGATTTTGGGGGTAGCTTTGTGATAGGAGCAGTGAGTGCAAAAAGTAGGCTGCTTACAATAGGCTTTAAGTTCTTTTAATCACAAGAAAATATAGTGGAGTTGCCTACAAACAAGAACTGGTCTGGGACTGAAGATGTCCTTCAGCTTCCTGTTTCTTAAAAGAGTAATGGTGAGAAGAGGGGCAATAAAGAAAGTGTACAAGTCTCTCCAGGTTGGAGGTGTGCTGTCAAGCCATAATCCGGACTAGCAAAATAAAATTGCATTTACAGTTTTAGTAAGCTTGTTCTGTCCTGAGTGGTGTTACAGTCTGAGTACATAAATGTTCATGGCAGTCCGAAGTGAATTTAAAGGAAATTAATGGTGTCTCTTTCTCTGCCTTCTAGATGGATTGAATCTTCTGTGTTGAATGCCTCCGAATTTCCTATTGGATTTCGCGTCTGGAAACATATTTTTGATTTAAGCCACTCAGTGGCAGACTGATCCAGGGTTCCTAAGACTTTAGATCTTGAGGAGGCAGCCGCTGCTGAATCACGTTAACCTGACATCACAGCCACAATGGTGCTGTCACAAAGGCAACGAGATGAACTGTAAGGAATGGTTATTTTTGTGTCTCATTGTCATTAAACTTTAAATACTAACTTTTGTCTCCAAATAGATTTTACAGGGTGGTTTTGCTCACATGCTGATCAAGTACCATGTATAATGGTTTAGATCTCTCTTATTTTTCATACAACCTCTGGTATTTGATAACAGAGCTGTGAAATGGTGAAAATACCATTTCAAAGTTATGGCATAAAAAATAGATTCTTAAATTGCTATAACTTATTGTGCTCTACTTTGTTTTGACTTCAGTCACAAAGTTATGAAAGGGTTGCAGTAAACAGCAAGAGCACTGTAATATATGCTCCGAACTGATCTGTGAATTATACTTTTATCTTGAGTAAATTCTGACAATTTTTTTGCTATTTTACTCCTGAATGTAGATAAGGATCTGATCAGACTGTGCTACAAGCTAAGACTTGTTCTCTTAAACTGAGCATTTTATTCTGAACTGTTCTACCCAAAACAGTTTTCCTTCAAAGATAAAGCCACAGCGTTGATATGTAGACGTGGTTGTCACTTTTGTACCTGCTGTGGGTTTTATGTATTATACAGATTGATAAGTGTATTCGTGCTACTCGAATGTTTGGTAACGTGAAAGAAAAAAAAACCAAACCTCTTCACCAAACTTAAAATAAAATGTGTATCCTGCTATTGACGTCTTGAAGCAAAATCTGTTTGCCCAATGTATTTATAAAATTTGCTTGGGCTTTTAACAGGCCTAATAGTGCGAGGTGTACTGCATTGAAGACTTTGATATTCGTCGTGCTTTTTTAAAAACTGAAAGTCTGAACCAGTTCTTTTATTCAGAACTGTGGCTGAAGATGCTGTTCTTTGTTTTTTAGAAATCGAGCAATAGCAGATTACCTTCGTTCTAATGGCTATGAAGAGGCATATTCGGTTTTTAAAAAGGAAGCTGAGTTAGATGTGGTGAGTTCAAGCAAGAGTCTTCATCTGTATTTTAAGTAGAGTTTATAATTTTATGGCATTTGCATCCATTTTGAACATGTATATCTATTATCTACCTATTAACTCGTGGAGTTTCAGATCTGGAGCTGATAAGCTCATACAGCTTGTTGCCTTGCAATAAAATTTAAAAAATAATAATTGGATGACTTGGCAATTTCAGAAGAATGTGTCTAATTTTAACACATGTAATTGCTGTTTCCTGTTGTTGTGTCCATCCCTCCTTCCCTCCCTGTAACTCATTTCCTTAACAGTGCTTATTCTTACCATGAAATTCTGCATAGAAGCATAAACTTTCAGCAGTAGAAAATTAGAAGACTGAAGACTGTTCTCCTGTGCCCAGACCTGAAATGGTGTAGAACAGTGCAGCTTTGGAGGCTGACTCCACATGGTAGTGTTTAAGAAACAGGAAGACAAAACAGGATTGCTTTTGTCCTCTCCTTTATCATCCAGACCAAATGGTGGAAATCTGTTTTGGGGTTGGGCTTGGGTCAGTAGTTAAATCATTGTCTGAACTGTTGCATACCAGTTGGTTAACTGTATAGTAGGAGGGCAAGACTCAATAGTTAAACTGTTGATAGCTCTGGTAAGCAACTCGATTTTGTTAGACTGTACAGATACTCGTGACTTGGACCACTCATTTCTTGCAACTTAATTCTGTTGATTTGCTTTCGTAACAGATTATTCTTTTTTTTCAAAAAAAACTTGCCACTTATTAGTACAGGAGGTGTGCATTTCATCTGAGTTTAAATTTTGCTGGAGACACCTGGATTGAGTAGGAAACTTCCTGTGTGCTGACTTTTGATAAATCCTTGCATTTTCTCCATTATAAATATTGCATTGTTCTTTTTCCAGAGTGCTTGGTTGAAGTTTGACTCAGTTTCTCCAGTCTGCTAATAAATAAGTAGAAATGACAAATTGGAATACCATACTTATAATTGAAAATCCTAATACCATTCCCTTATCCGCCTTATCTATCAACCTAATTAAGTCTTCTCTTCCCAAAGGTTAAAAAGGCGATCTAAATAGGGTAGATGGTCCTGGGGGAAATAGAAAATGTAGTTGCTGAAAGTTCCATATTACTTTCTTGCAAGAAGTTCTGAATTGGATGGGGCTGTACTAAAATGACCAAAAAAAAAAAAGTTAAAGGCAGAAATTATTTCAGTAAATTGGAAGGCTTCAAGTGTAGCTCTTCAAAGAGGGCTTTCCTTTTTTGTATTGATTATTCCTGCAGATAACTCCAGCTTTGACAAATGCCCCTGAAGTGATAGATGAACATCTGGTCTCTGCTAGGCTTTTGTGGCATAAGCCATGCCATTGCTCTTTTCCCCATGTCTTTGTCATTCTCCATCTATTTTAGAATGATTCTTATATGAGATTGTCATTTTGTACACGGAAGGAAAGTGTGCAGCATTTAATTACTCTTCTGTGTCTCTGCTTGTTTTTCTGTGATGCTTTTGTTCCTCTTGTGTTAATAGATGGGAGCGAAATAAAAAGAGTAATCCTCTGGCTTTTAGAGTAAGATCAGCTGTTCATTGTTACTCCTCAGCTATTCCTAAAGGAGAAAAGTATTCAGTGGAAGAAAATTATTCTTCATTAAAGTTTCATTAGAGTTACAAAATCAGTGTTGGTTTCTCCAGTAGCCGAGGCAGTAGGGGAGATATAGTAGTCTCTGGTTCGGCTACTGAAATAAAGATGCAGGGAGAGTGTACTTAAAGCTTGTCTTTGAGAAGAGAGCACAAAATAATGTAAAATTATGGTAATGATTTGAGGTTAATTATAATCAAGTTTGTTTTTTGTTAAATAAAGTTAGTTTGGGCTAGCTGGTTTTCAAATGTAACAAAGTATGACACAACATTCTCAGACATGCAGAGCACTTAAAAAGCTTTCAAGTAATGAAGATAGAAAGCAGCATAGATGAGTTTAGTCCTAGTTTTTGGATTGTATTTGCAGAATCCAGCTGGCATCATTAATCTGTACTGCTGCAGTATTTTTAATTGAAAATTATATTTTAAAATGTTTTCCTCTCTTCTGTTTGTGTAAAGTGTAACTATTAAAATTTGAAGCATGGCTGTTCTGTTTAGTAAATCTGATTACAGTCCTTTGCTTGAATTCTTTTTTCTGTGGTCGAGAGATTGTACTAAAATGAGCTGTTTATGTTGCCTTTGAAGAAGCACTTCTACAGGCTTTAGAAATAGAATTTATTAATTCACTTAAATGCTTCTCCTGTTCAGAATGAAGAGTTAGATAAGAAGTATGCTGGACTTCTGGAAAAAAAATGGACATCCGTTATAAGATTACAAAAGAAGGTAAGCAGAGATCTGATGGATTTGTGTGTGTAAGAAGTTATGACTCGAGTCAAACATTCATCACTGAATAGAATGTCACATATTTTCCTTGTCAACAAACTCAAGGTTTAGAAAATGATGCCTCAAAGATGAATTTTGAGGACTTGAGTAGGGCAATGTTTTGAGTAGAAAATGTTTTCTCTATCTCAGTGCTAGCAGAGACATCCTCTTGGTTTCTTTATAAAAATTTCTTCAGTTTATGGATTGCATGTGCAGTTTCTGAAGCTGGAAAGGAAAAAGGTGCCTTAAGGCAGTTTGTGAGTGGAAAGATTGAAGGCTTAATTGGTTTAGAAAGAAGGTAAAAACCTGTGCTGCCAGTTGTCTTTGGCCATCCCATTAAAGGGAAGAAACCATTAACTCCAGTGCATTAGAGCAAGTGATTCCACTGCAAGTGGACAGTACAAAACTCTTTTTAGTAATGCTTCAATGGATCTAGAGTGTATTAAAAGCTTTTAAGAAAAAAAAAATCAGTGTGCTAACAATAAAGACCTTTGTATTGTAAAGGTTAACACATCCAGGGTTTGTTACACCTTTTGTTTCTCTGCTGTGGGTAACGTGGATGCCGATTCAGGGATACAAAAATCATTGCAGTAGAAGCATTCCTTTGTGTTAACACAATCTTTAATAGTTTGTCAGAATAGGAGCTCAGACACATTTGCACAGTATGTGAGTGAACATGATTTTGTAGAACTTTTTTTCCTGTCAAAATATGTGGGAAGTTGGAGAAGAATAAATGATCAAATTATTGAAGGATAAATGATAAATTATTAATTTGTGTGATTTTTAGAAACACCAACATTATTGAATGTTGGTAATCAGTTTGGATCTGTGCAAGCTTTGCTTCAAGCTTTGCTTTACTCTGAGTTTGGGAGCCGGTCGGTATTTGGATTATTAATGAGTGCAGGTGAATCGTGATGTACAACTAGAAATGAATGGTCTCTTTCAATTTCATAAACTTAGGTAATGGAATTAGAATCGAAGCTGAATGAAGCTAAAGAAGAATTTACATCAGGTGGACCTCTTGGTCAGAAACGAGACCCTAAAGAGTGGATTCCTCGTCCTCCAGAGAAGTATGCATTGAATGGACATAGGAGTCCTGTCACTCGAGTAATTTTCCATCCGGTTTTCAGTGTTATGGTCTCCGCTTCAGAGGATGCCACAATAAAGGTACGTGTTTGCTACAGCAAACTCAACTAAGCAAGTCAGAGGATGTGTAATGTGTAACATCAGTACTTCAAGCTGGATGTGCGCTGTACTCATGGAAGATTGTTCTGCTTTAGCTTCCGTGGGGAGAGTTCTTTCACATGTGGTGTCCTGTGTAATCTACAAATCTTAGTTTTATGCGGGTCCAATTAATATCTTCAAGAGTATTTTACTATCCTTTGACTTCAGGAAAAAATAATTAAGATAATGTGGATTTAGAGATGGGAGAAATAGATAAAGGATGGGTGGGGGAGGAATGCATTTGGACTGCTCAGTAGAGCAGGAGTGGTGAGAGGGGGGAAGGCAGTTGCCTCAAGTCATCTGAAGTGGTTATTTTTAAAGCTGAGTTAAAGTGGCTGTGCAGCTGTATTCTTAACTGAAAACTAGCTCTTCCCATTTCTTCTAAATGGGACATGCCAGTCCTGTGAAGTCCCTGTGACTGTCAGTAATTTCAAATGGACTTCATAGGCCTTTGTTGCAGTGTACAGTGGCATGAAGAGATTTTTTGTAGTAGGCAAGTAATTTCTCATTTTTGCATCCAGTAAAGACGTGATTGTGCATTTTGTTGTTGTTTGAATGTCACAATAAAAGCGAATTATCCTGATGAAGGATACTTCTCATTGCTCTCCGGTGGTTTGAAAGCTGCTTGGAAAGGTGCTGTTCTGACAAACACTTGAGTAGCGGGATGTGGTTCAAAATGCACGTTGTGCTGATAGTGGCTTCCTGTTGGAGAAGATTGAAATAAAAAGTGTCAGCCAGTACCTAGTTCATGAAGAGCTTTTAGCCTGTTCTTGTTTCTGCAACAGACTTGAAAAGAGAGGGCTGGGGTGTTTTCTTCAAGCAGGGCCAGCTGAACCAGTGACAGCTCTGTGTTTGTTGGATGCTGTAAAGGAGCCCAATTAGCTTTGGTTTTGCTCCCTCTTATGGATACACTGGGTGAATTTCCTTTTCTTGAAGTGAAGCTGTGTAGCTTCATTTGACTGTTGCATTCCCAATGATTGCAATCTATTGGGATGAGGAATTTTTTTTTGTTTGTTTTTCTTTGGTGTTGAGGGGTGGGGTTTTTTGTTCAGGATATAATTTAAAATTAAGTATCTAATTTTGTGCTTGAGAGAGAGGCAGTAAAATCTGTAGGAGCTTGTTTTGTTTCAAGGGCTTTTGTTTGCGGTTAGATGACAGAAGACTGACTTAATTAAGAGGTGAGAATGGGGACTTCATGCTATCTTGCAGTTATTAACTGCAAACATTTCTTTAATCTCTGACAAATTCTGCAACATACTAGTGTGTGCGTATCAAACTCTTCAGAGTGGTTTTGGTTATTGTTCCTAACCCAATGCATTTTGCTCTTCAGTATGCAGAATATTTGCTGTTTGGTTCTGAAACAGCAAGTAAATTCTGGAACCACAGTAGAGCTTGGGAAAGAAGGGGGGAGATTGTTAAAGATGATGCTTTCATCACCAGCTGAAAATGGGCTGCATTGCTGGAGTTAGGGAACTAGCATAGAAAGAGATGGAGAAAAACAAGCTGCACAAAGTGGATTTGTTCTGTCCAATGTGTTCCAAATTGATCTTCTTTCTTTTTAAGGGTATTGGGTGTTTTGACTTTTAGATACAATGGAACTTATTTTCCTGCTGTGTATATAATACATTTTAGCTGAAAACCAGTTTTCAAGATGCATGAATTCAGTTAATTTATAAGTAACAAAATCGTATAATACTTATTTTTCTATGCTGTTAGGCTTTTATGGCTGTCTTTGTCTCTTGCTCAATTAATTATTGAATAAGGTGCCAGACTGGCCTGCAGAGTGCAAATGTAAGGCTGGGGAATACAAAGAGTAATAGATTGCTGTTAACGGATTTCTGTTCACTTGTCAGGTGTGGGATTATGAGACAGGAGACTTTGAACGAACCCTAAAGGGGCATACAGACTCTGTGCAAGATATTTCCTTTGACCACACTGGCAAACTATTGGCCTCCTGTTCTGCTGATATGACCATTAAGCTATGGGATTTCCAGGGCTTCGAGTGCATCAGAACTATGCATGGTAAGGTGTAAAGGGAATTGATTTAGCACTCTGTAAAGTGAAGAGGTTGCTTTTTTTTTTCCTTAATCCAGGAAAACTGCTGATGTGGAAAGGAGTTATAAACCAGAATATTGTCCGAAAGAAAGAGGGGCGATATTTTGATGCTTTGAGTGCTCTGTAAATAAGGTGTATGTTTAGGATCTATGGAATGAGAGAGCATCTCAAATCTGCTATGCATGATGCTGTGGCAATGTCTGATTTTAAAACTTCTTAAATTTTTGAAACAATTTTAAAGGATGCTCAATGTCTGCTCTGTGTGGTTTCTAAAAACATAAATTATTCTTTCATAAAATGTCGAGTTTATATGCAGGGATTATTCCATAAAACATGCACTATTGCTGTAGCTACTTGACCAAGATAAATGAATAGCAGGTCCTCTGTGCTCTGTAAAAACTGTTTCACTACTGCTTACTAAAGGTTTTGTTTTGGTTTTAGGTCATGATCATAATGTTTCTTCAGTAGCCATCATGCCCAATGGAGATCATATAGTTTCTGCCTCAAGGGATAAAACTATCAAAATGTGGGAAGTCCAAACAGGGTAAGTGCACTTCTGGCTGAACATCAGCACCTAAACAAAACAAGCATAAAACTCTGGAGGAAATGGGCCACGTAAATCTAGAAGTCAGCAAACATTATTTGAATTGAGGCATGATACTATGGGCTTTAGAGGAATTCACGGAAGGATTCTGCCTTAAATTGTTAAGCACAGGGTTTTAGGTTTTACTATTGACTAACTAAAACTGCCCTTATCTTTCTGGGAGCTAGGAGGGTAGAACACCGTAATGCAGGACCAGGTAGGAATGTGAATTCAGAGTTAACCACATGTTTAAAGGGAGCATGGGAGGAGGGAGGGGAAGCCTGTTACCTTTCTTGACTGAGATCAGTGTGTCTCCTCTGCTTTTGTTTTGGGGTTTTTTGGGGCTGTGAGGGAGGGCTGTTTGGTTTCTTTGGGATTTTTTTTTTTTGTCGTATTTATTGTTTCATTAATCAGTTTTGTCTTTAATCAATCTATTTGCTAAAAGTTGTAGTTGAGGGCTATCTGAATGACCTGTAAATCTCTACTTGTTCTTAAAATACTGATTTAATGCAAGCTGTTGTGTCAACTTCATTTTTCCCCTAAGCTTCCTGCTTTCTACCTTAACAAGGATTTGCCAGTTCTTAACTGTCACTGCTTTCTCATGTCAGCTTCCTTTCCATGAACTGTTTTATGGCCATGTACATCATCATCCTGGATGGACACGTACATGCTGAAGTATTTTATCTTAACTTCTAAGAGTGGGTCAAATGTCCTTAAATTTTGAAGGCATGTGGAGTGGTTTTGTTGCAATGTTCATTGAGTCGTGCTGTGTTTCTCTTTTTTGAATAGTTACTGTGTGAAGACTTTCACGGGTCACAGAGAATGGGTGCGCATGGTGCGGCCTAACCAGGATGGCACCTTAATTGCCAGTTGTTCTAATGACCAGACAGTGCGTGTTTGGGTGGTAGCAACAAAGGAATGCAAAGCTGAGCTCCGAGAACATGAGCACGTGGTAGAATGCATTTCCTGGGCTCCCGAGAGCTCGTACTCCACCATATCAGAAGCTACAGGATCAGAGGTAATGTTTCCATGCTAATAAATAAGCACATACAATAAGATTTTTAACTATGCTCTGTCTAGAACTTACTAAATAGTATTTAAAAGAACTGAGCTTTGTTCTCAAAGTGCTTGGCAGGTGTATATTTTTTGCTGAGTATACTTGGTGCACTGTTAATCCTCCGTCTTGGCTTCATAGGATCCATGCTTTTGTTTTTTTAGTGGTAGGACCCTACCTTTGCACTAATGAAAGTGAACTTTGGAGAGATACTCTTATTTCTGAGAGGGTTGAGAGTGGGGCCACTTTCACATGTTTCAGCAAAGAAATGTGGAAGGTAGTTTATCTGGCAGAATGTGAAGATTATAAGGATGCTCAGCAATTGAAAGGTGCGGGGGAAAGTAGTGAGTCAGGAATGCAGAAATGAAGCTGCCTTGAGAGTCTTGCACTGGAATTCAGCTTTGACCGCCGTGTCCTAGTGTACCAAGTTAAGGATGTGAAAAAGCATTCTTTAACACAAATAAATCCCCATTTGTGTGATCACAGAGATATCTTCTCTGGTTTGGTTACTAACTTTAAGAAAGGCTTACTAAAGGTCAGCAAAAATATCCTTTTAAGGATGACAAAGTGCAGACAAACTAGAAATTAACTCAATTTTTCTAGTTAAAAAACCCCAAGCATTTCTGCCTTGCCCTCTTCCTCAAAAAGGACACAAATACCCAAAGGGATAAGTAGGTACACTGGAGCAGGGACAGGTCTAGTGATAGATTTTACAGATTATTTCAGTCAAATTTTACTTGCATCTTTAAAAGATCCTTATAATCTTTTAATTTAAAGTAATTTAAACTAAATTCCAAATGTTCACTTCCTCTTGCAGTGGTAACTATCTGAAGTGGTGCCTCCCCTGCCCTCTGCTGGTCTCATCAGCTGTGCACACCCCATTACAGTGCTTGGCTTTGAACAAGCAGCAAGCTAGCATTCACTTCATAGTTGAAACTTCTTGAGAACTAAGTCTTTCTTTCATACTGTGTATGATTACAAATAGAAATAAGTTCAGAGTAGAAACTTTTCAAAAATTCTTAAACTTGCTTCATTACTTTTTATGAAGGATGAGAACACAAAGGTATGTCTGAACTTCATACACTTTTGTGCTGCGATGTCTGTCTGCTGTTAAGAGAGGATGTCTTGCAGTAGGCAAGTGTGGATTCAAAATATTACTTGGCTCGGTGCATCAGCAGGATATACAGCCATTTCTTCCAACAGATTGTTTAATTCCTGTTGGGTTTTTGTTTGTTTCTCCTGGTATTAGTAACAAAATGCCTGTGACTCTCAGCTTTGGCATTGTGTGGTTGAGCTGTAAGCTGTCATACAATCTGATTTTTCTGCTAAGAAATAGCGCTCAGAAGAGATCTTTTTCCTCCCTCCTCTTCCCCCCACCCTGCCCCATATATGCCATAACTTAAAACTTAATTTTCTGTAGACTAAGAAGAGTGGCAAGCCTGGGCCTTTTCTGCTGTCTGGATCCAGAGACAAGACCATCAAGATGTGGGACATTAGCACTGGCATGTGCCTTATGACACTTGTAAGTTCCCCAGTGTTTTTCTGATGGGCATAGCTCCACATGTCAAACCAGTTTAATGGACTGGATGATCTTACACATTTATGTTTTCAAGAGAAGCTAGAGTTATTGCAGTAAGACAAACACTGGGAATACACAGTTCTAGTTGCTTCTGTATCTCGGCTCTTGTCAGTGCTGATACTAAGAATCTCAAAATACACAGTACAGATCCAGTGCTGTGGTGCAGTTTTTGGGATGAGTAGCTTGGTTTATCCTCAGAAAGGCTGATAATTGTCTGAATTTTGTCTTGTGTGAAATGTCACGTTCTTTCACCGTGTGGGTCTTCCCGCAGGCTATGGACTGCTGGCTTCCAGCCTGGGTTCAGCCTGGACTGGGTGGTGGTGCTGGGGGTGGGGAGCAGAATCAGTGCAGATCACATGAGGACTTGTGTGTGTTGGCCTTCAACAACAGGAACTTGCATTGTTGGTAGTGCTGATATAGATGTAATAATAGAAACTGAAGATAAAGTCTGAGTCCTGATGGCTTTTAGAAGCTGCCCTTCCAGGGACAGTGCAAGGAGTCATTCAAGTTTGCCGTTAACATAAATTGTAGTATGCTAAGCCTTAAACCGTGAACCTGCTCACTGATTTCTCCTTGTGCGCAAGGTGGGCCATGATAACTGGGTACGTGGCGTTCTGTTCCATTCTGGGGGAAAATTTATTTTGAGCTGTGCTGATGACAAGACTCTACGCGTCTGGGACTTCAAGAACAAACGATGCATGAAAACCCTCAATGCGCACGAACACTTTGTTACCTCTTTGGGTATGTATTGTTCTACAGTGCTTGCTGCAAATACAGAGCCAGAGAGACAGATTTTTCTGTGTCTTCATCAGCTGAAGTTGAGCACCAAGCTAGACATTCACATTTTGGATTCCAGTGAAGTTTTCTGCTCTCTGTATTTTAGTCAAGTAAGGACAGATATGAATTTCAAGTGTGCTGGACTTTTCTACTTTTGTTGCCAGTGTTGCACGTTGGGTAAAGATGTTAACTGCCAGGGTGTTCTGGAACTTTTCACTGCTGAGTGTGTAGGGATTTGGGGAGCGCTGTATCACAAATGCTTGCCCAGCTAAAAAAAAAAAGAGGGGGGATGGGTGCAAAGCAAAACGGTCAGGAAAAAATATACTTTGAATTCCTGGGCATGCCTGGTTGGTGTTACCAGATCTTGGTAGATGTTAGTTCCCCTGCCCTGGCAAAAATAAAACAAACCAACCCCTCCCTGTTCAGCAAAGGTAGCTTTACTCTGGAAACTTCTTTATTGTTTTCTTTCCCTGTATTACTCTGGTAGTTTGTAGCTTCTTCAGGAAAGCTGCGCAAATTGGGCTAGCAGTGAACCTGGAATTGGCTACTAAGGTTTCCTAGTCAAATTTGCAGGTCTGATCAAAATACAGGGCTTCTGACTTCACTCTTAACTTGGTGAAGACAGCTGATCAGAAAGGGCAAAGGGAAGTTACGAGTTCAAGAAGGTTAAACTGTTAGCATGAAGTGGCCAACCTTGGAGTTGGCTGCTTCAGTTCTCAGGTTGCTCTGCTGAACGCTTTCTCTGCAGCGAGGCGTTCTGATTCCTCTTGGTTAAACTTCCCAGCACTGTTGTCTGACCCACTCCAAAATTCGTTTGTATATACAAAATATTTTGGGATCTCCTGAGAAACAGTACACTTTACATTTTTTAAATACTAGCTCACAGCCTGTACTGCCCACAGCAAAAAGAAAAAGTCAGGTTTCTTGGCTTCTGATTCTTGACTACCTCTTGTGTAAACACATGAAGTTCTGGTAGTATTCGGGGGTTTTGCCAGTTTGAGATGTTTTGGACTCCTGTTATAACTTCATCTGGATGTCTTTTCCATGAAAGCTCCTTTTAACTGAACTGAAAGTAGATTTTTCTTTCACACTTTATAAAATTATAGTGTGAGAGAATTTGCTTTCAGAACTGCAGACATGACGAGCTCTGAAAGTTAGTCTTCGAGCTGGTATCACTTTTTTTAAAAAAAGTAATGACATTCAGTGAGAGTGGAAAATACCAAAGTTTTGGATTCGTTCTTAACATAAGCTTTTCTCTCCTCACAGATTTCCACAAGACAGCACCGTATGTGGTTACTGGAAGTGTAGATCAAACAGTAAAAGTGTGGGAGTGCCGTTGATTGAATTCACATTTGACCCCTTTTTCCTCTGGATGCACTCAGATACCATGGTTACCCATTGAGCTCTGTTTAAATAAATATTGTCCTTTCATGTAAATTATTCTGGATGTAGATTGAGCTTATTAAATGTTACACACAAAGTATTCATGCATGGTGAATCCAAATTGTATACTGTAAATTTACATACGTTGTCTAGAAGTACCATAGGTTTAAGAACATGGGCTGGCATTGGTCACATCAGACCTAAGAAGGCAGAAGTTGGATAATTGGAATAGGGCACTTAACTGAATAGTTGACAGTGTCGTTCTATGTCGGATAATTATACCTGTTTTTCTTTCTGCTGTCTGTTGGTGCCTGAATTGGTGACCTCATTTGGGAAAAGTTTTGTAGGGCTCTTTCAGAAATGTGTATCTATGTAACATCACTTAAGTGTGCTTAATAAATCTTCTCTAAGAATACTAGATAATAAGGCTGCAATTCAGAATCTTCTGAACCTTATATGTAATTAATGGAAATTAATTAAACTCTGGAATATTTGTCATGAAACATTTGCCAAATCAACTGAATACACTTGTTTTGGCCTCCTATGACGCAAGGGTTGGTATATTTATATAACTAACTGTAAACCTGAAATAAGACAACAAATCTTAGTAGCAGCTGATGTGATAAATGTATTTATTTTTTATTTGGTCATTCAGTGGTTAAGCTGTGCTGTTAAACTAAGTTTAAATGGTTTTTTGTTTGGTTTTTTTTAATGCTAGACGAACTTCCAGGAGGAGTTGTCCATCCCACTAGAATTTAGTGATTTAATTTCCAATAGAGCTTAATCTCCCAAATGACTGCCATGGTACAACTTGCTGTTTGCTTTCGATGTTTGTTAGAGATGTGCAATTCCTATTACACACCAGTATCAAAGTACACGGCCCTCTTACTCACTTGCAGGAGGTTGGGGTATACAAAGGTTTCTTGGTTTCTTTAGTGCCTCCTTGGAAACCCTTTTGAAAATGAGGTTATCCTTTCCTTGACAAGACAATGTGGCTTGAATAAAAACGTTCTGTGGTTTGCATATTGAGAAATACCTTGGGATACAGTATTGAAATGCTTTAAATAAAGCACTAAATACCTTGAGAATCAGATTGTAACAGCAGATACAGATTGATACAGGCTTCTAAAACAAAAATCAGAACACCATCACAAAACAAAGTCCATCAGTGGGAATGATGCTATCAAGTAAACATTTAAAACCCAAACCAAATCCTGTTGGCAAAACTAGCCTGGCTTGGTTGTTAGTATTTATGGTGTTTGGTGTATACAATTTTTAATTTGCATATCCCTGAAGTTACATATTTTGATCTGAAGTGAATGAAAATATTATAAATTAATATTTTAATCAGCATTTTTGTGACAAATTCCATTGTAGATAACTAAGGATTACAATACTTACCAAACTAACCAGGTCTTTTAAAAAGTCCACTTTAAAATTTACAATATAATGAAGTACCAGTCTGATGTTTTAACAGGTGAATTTGTGCTTTATTTTATTCATTTTGTTTAATACATGGCTTTTAAAACTGTCCCTTTTAAAAAGAAGAATCCTTGACCAACACAGGGTCAGTTGGAGGGCGGACACACTAAAAGGGTGAGGGGTCTGGTGGCTCATGTCCTGCAGTCACCCGGGGAGGATCCACGCTTCTGTGCGGAGGAGAGGGGTGTTGGTGTTGGATCCTGGCATAGACTTGCCTTGGGGTGGAGGAAATGGAGTGCTGATGTGGGGGTTTCTGGAGCCGGTTTAACATTCAGGCTAATCTCTGAAATCCAGTGGTTTATGTACTTTCAGTGTGTGTTTCTGCAGTTAAGCATGCACAAATAAAGTATTTTTTTTGTTTGTTAGCTGCTTGGACTGGAAAAATTTGCTGCTTTTTGTCCTATCCAAGAATTCCAGATACACAAGTAGTGCATCTTAAAATTCCTCCGTGCATCTGCAACTGTAAAGTAATACATCTGTTTAATTCCCGATAGGACCTAAAACTTTATTTAAGTAGAAAGTAAACCACCCTCATGTACATAATTCATAAACATGAATGAGAAATTAAAGGTACCTACTAAGTGGAAGTTGTCTACTGCCTTTTGTCCCTTCAGCATCCAGCTGTGTCCAAGGACAGACCCCTCCCCAGAGTCATGTAAGCAGCATTCGCTGGCTAAGTGCGACCTTCTTCCGTAAGCAGTGACTAATCTCAGGGATGGTCCGGACCGGATCACGAGTCAAAGCCCTGTTTAGACAAAAAGCGAAAGCCACAACACAGGAGGTGGGTGCGCGAGGGTTTCCTGCGGTGTCGCTCCAGAGTATCGCGCTGTCTTGAACTTCTTCCACTGTTCGCAGTACTTTCTGTCAGCTAATCCTGTGCCTTTCCTGTGATAACGAGTACGATAATGAGGTTACTGGGTTGGATTACAAAATAAATGATTAGTGGATATAAGAGGTTCACTGCTGCTCTGTCGCTGTCCTTACTAAAATTGGCATTGCTTAAAAATCACGATATACAGACCGTGTTACCAGATAGACAATACAGACTTTTGGCTTAAAACCAGACAGACATTCCAGTGCCACACTGATGTAACGTGCCCAGGAAGTCTTAGACGCGTTCTAAAAAGTGCAGCATTTCTGGTGGTTTAGACAGAATCCGGAGGTTGATGTTTTATAGCATCTTGCACTTTAGAAGATTTAAAAAACCGTCCTGCTTTTGTGTATGGTGTGACCAATGATGTGCCCGGGGCACTAATTAAAAAGGAAAAAAAAAAAAAAAAAAAAAGAATCTAGTTGCTAGCGAGTTGTCGGAGGGCTGTGGAGCACTGTAGTATTTTGCAAGCGTTGGCTGTAGACTCACTGAGCCTGGTCTCCTTATCCTGTCAGCACCCTGCTTCTCCTGTTTTTATGTGACCTGCCTGGTAATACCACTCTTAAATAGCTTTTGACTTGCATAAAAGCTATTTAAAAGAAAAAGTTAATATTTTGTTTTTGTAGACAGTGGTGGCTTGATAATCCTTTTAATGAATTGAATATTGAAAAAAAAATACAGTTGAGTGCAGGAAAAACACCCTTAGGGTGAGTCCTTGGCTGTCCAGCTGTCCATAGAGTCCAGTGTGTTTAAAAGTCAATACCGAGAAGCTTCTGGCAAGAATTTGTGCGTAGGGAGAGAGGTGTTAGGAGCAGGGAGGATGAAGTTGGATTTACAAGTCACGACTGGATTTAACTGGCCTTTTTCTCTTTCCACTGTGTCATGTAAGTAGCTGCTTTCTTGTCCTACCTGTCCCTCAGGCTTCCCCAAGTTCATTCTGACGAGAAGTTAGCAAAACCTTCACCTTTTAGAAGTTGATCCTGACATTGACATGAAGGCAAAGTCAATTTTTTTTCATAAGAACGGTGTTAGAGGTTGCAATTGGAGAGAACAGTTCCCAGACTGTAGGAGTTAACTGAAGCTATTGACACAATTAAAAAAAAAAAAAAATCAGTAAAGGAATGTATATAATACTGCTCTGTGTTTTACAGTAAGATTTGTTGCTCTCAGACTGTGTAAAACAAAATTTATTCATGTTTTCTGCATATTAAAAAAATCTTATTGTACCAATTGGTAAACTATTAAATGCATATAAAACTAGACGTGGCTTTGTTTCCTTGGATGCCAGAATTAAAACTATTTTGAAGAAAGCTGTTGGTGTTCCACCCTTCAGATTTTGCTCCACCCCTGCTTTTTCTTTTCTCTCATTTGAATTGTGCTGGATGAGGAAAGCAGAAGCGTTGTTAGGGCCGTTGGTTACGGTTCGAACAGGGACGGGTGACTGGTTACAGTGCAGCGAGGGGCCACGGCCGGGAACGGCTGGGCTGGAGTCAGGGCTGGGCTGGAATTGTTCCTGAGCTGTGCTGGGGGGGGAGCTCCCGCCTGCGCTGCTCCTGGACATTTTGGTTTGCGTTTGGGGTTTTTTGGGGATTTTTTTTTTCCACTGCTCTGGGTGAGTCCTCCACCATCGGGCACCCTGGCTGAGGGCCAGGCTGGCCCAGCGCTTGGGTGGTGTTGGGATGCAGCGGTGGAAGGAAAGCTCCCGTGTGTGCAGGGAGCTTACCGCAAGGGAGAGATGGATATGAAAATGGAAGCTGCTAAGAACAGCCAGGGTAGGTGAAGAATTTCAGTTTCCCCTTCACTGTGGTGATGGTGCCCCAAGTGCAGCCCTGGATGTGTACCAGTTTCCACCACTTGTTGCCAGTTTTGATGCAGCACTGATGGGTATTAAAGCTTTTTTCAGCAGCCAGGGTTGAATATGAAAAGAAATTTCATGTGTAGGAGTTTTGGTCAGTGGGGGGAGATAATGTGAGGAGGCCTCTCACCAGTGCGACCACTGAAGGTAGGGAAGGGTTAACTGGTGCCTGAGTTACAGCTTTTAGGGCCCGGGCTGGGTGATGACACCTGTTCCCTCTCTCTGGAACACAACTGAGGATAAAACCAGCAAATTTCTAGGTGCCTCCCGCAGGATTCCTCATCTTTCTTTGAAATGATTTCATGTTGCTGCAGTTCCTGCTCTGGGGCAGTGGGACATGGCCCCTGCCTGCTCCAGGAACGGCCAAGGGCTTCGTGTGAGGGTTACACCTGCTCTGACCAGAACCCAGAGGGCCAGGGGGTAGAGGACCGTGACTGTACGGAGCAGGAACGGAGCCGGCTCCCGGAGCTGGTCGAGGATCGTGGGCTATGTTCAATTTCCCAAACATCCCCCTTCTCTGGCCCTGGCAGCGCTGCAGCAGGAGGGTGAGTCGGTTCTTCTGCGTTCATTTTAGTGAAGCACTTGTGCACCAAGCACCTGGGACCACCCCCCCACCCCCCAACAAGGGGAAGAGGCATCCTGGTGAATGGCATCCAACAGCTTCCACAAAACTGCAAAGAAATCAGTAAAGTACCTAAAATAGTTTAAAAAGCTTTTAATGGACTGAAAGACACTAGTAAAAGGAAAATCTTGTAGGAAAGATGCACTGTAGTCATTTATTGATTGCTTTCCAGGAAATTCAGAATTTTTCTAATAGGAGCAACTTCTTTCGCAGTGAAGACGCCTCCGGCTTTGTCACCTCCAACAAGAACAGCTCGGAGGCAGCTCCCCTCCTCCCCTTCCCCCCACCAAGAGTTACAGACACCCCAGGGCAGGACAGGACCCAGTACAGAGCACAGGGACAGCACGCGTTCTCCGGAGGGTCAGGAAAAGCAACGGCACTGAGCACAGGGATGATCCGGACAGACACAAGGGAGAGTGCCGGGGCTCCGCCACCACCAGGGCTGCACAGAGCCCTCAGAGCTTGTCCTGCAGCGGGAGCCCTTCGGGACAAAAACCTTCAACTCTGTCGGCCCCATCCCCCGCAGCAGCCACATGTCACCTGCACTGGGACGGGCAGGGCCAGGGGAGCCTGCGCTCAGCAGTGACAGCCACCATGGGACACGGGTGGCAAGAGGGGACGCAGGGCAGCTGCCATGGTGGTAACACCCATTGCCAGCAATGGAAGCTCCCCTGGCGACAATCTCAAACGCCGTGGGCGAAAAAGGTCAGTTCAGAAGATAGTGGCCGTAGGTTTCAGTGCAGTGGGAAGTGTCAGTTTTTATTTAAATCCTCTCCCTTCCCCAAAGACCCCAAGGAATTCCAGGTTGTGGGAAAGGTGTGAATCCCCACCTGGTTCACCACACCCATCAGGGTCACGTCCATCAGCATTGGGGCATCGTTGCTATTGCAAAGGAGACCAAGGCCCTCTTTCTCCCTCCTCCTCCCCTCTAGTACCAGGGCTGCGATTTCCTGCTCACTGATGCCCTGACCCCTCTCCTAGGCACTGGGGTTTCCACAGTAGTGGAAGTTTGTGCACTTTTTAAACATCAAGCCCTCGCTCTTTGGATACAGGATCCCGAGTTACCCAGCTGCAAGCAGAGCAGAGGGGGAACTGTGAGTATCATATATATATATTTTTATATATCTCTCTATATATCTTTACCTTGAAAATTAGAATGTGAATGTTACAAAATCCCACTGAATTGCCAAACTGCCAACCAAAAGTAGAAAAAATGGTTAAAGGAATCCCATGGCTATATCCTGATGTAGAAACCGCTGTACATTCCCCCGATGCACACCTTACAGGCTTCCGGCATCCGAGCGACACCGGCGTACGGCTGCTTCATTCTCCTCAGCACAACTTGGGACAGTGACTGGGGGAAAATAAATCTTTTGGCTTGGAATCCACGTTTTACGAGAATGCTGAGCGGTGGATGGGGCTGGTTTTGCACTGTTCTAGCAAAGCAGTGTCCTTAGTCAACATAAAAATGACCTGAGAAATGTCACATCCCTCCAGACAGTTCATTTGGAATTCGTATGTACAACGGAGAAACAACGGATGCTACGCCCACACACAACACGGACACACACACGGGCACGGCAGCCTCGGGCTGCGCTCACCTAGGATGGGGCGTTCGTACGCTGCTGCATCCTGGCCCCCTTCCCCTCGCGTGGCAGACACCAGCTCAGGCAGACAGATTACATTTCTCAGATTAGTTCTTTGCATTGTGTATTAATTGTACCAGTGCAATAACATTGTCAAAAAAAGGAGGAGCTGCTCCAGGGGAGTCCGAGACCCTGGGTCAGATTCAGAAAAGGGTGGTTTAAACTTTTTTTTTTAAGCGAGGTACACATTAAGCAGAGCTCTGTGTTAAGGGGATGGCAGCAGAAGGCATGCTTGGCTCAGCCTCTTTCTCCTCCACAGCTTTGTCCTCTGCTTCCAGCTGTTCGCCACTTTTTATGCTTTCTTGGAGCTGCTGGCGTCGCTGCACCTCTGCTTTAAGGTTCTCCAAGTCTTTTTGGCTGAAGGGGAAACCAGGAAGGGTAGTAAACGTTAGACTGGCTTTAGGAACGGGGTGAAGCACAGGGATGCAGCAATGTTCAACCAAACAGGAAACACTCCTGGCTCCTGCCCTCTTCCTGCCGGCTCAGCAACACCTGAGCGAGGTGAGGTGCTGGGTTTGCTGTTTGGTTTTGAACCATCAGCAGCCACTCAAGGCAGAGGCAGGGAGGTTAATCCTGTGCCCAGGCAGCCTCCAGCTGCTTCTGGTGAATTTTTACTATCAGTGATTACTTCTAGCCTTAGAAGAATACAGTCGCAGCTCAGGTCATCATTTTCCACCACTCTTGCAATCAAATTTTCAACTAAGAGACCATTTATAATAAATGGAAAAACAAACAAACAAAAAAAAGAGTACTGCTGTTCATAGTGGTCTTAAAGATGATGATGATGATAATTTGGGCTAGTGCATGATCTCTGCTGCTGTTCTTTGTAAACAAATCCTGCGGGGCTGGGGCAGGAACACCCCCAGGTGACTGAAAGCCACCGCCCCTCCCAGCAGCCCTGGCTGTGGACCAGCCGGTGCTGTTCTGCCCAGCCCAGCACCGCGCACTCCATCACCGCTGCCCGCTCTGCCGACAGCTGAAGCAAAAAACCCCTCGCTGCCGGGGTGACGGCCGAGAACAGGGGACAAGGGGAGAGGGCAGCTCCTGCCTGCAGAGGGACCCGTGGGGCAAGGGAAGCGTTGTGTTTGTGATGGCTCAGGAACACAGATTACACAAAAATCCTACTTGATTTCCAAAGGTGCAGCACACAGAGGAGTCACTCTACCTTAGTGGAATGAAGAGAATTCCATTGATAATGTTGAGCTGCTCCAGGACACTGGCCATACTGGGAGCGGTGAACTACAGTGTAAAAAGGAAAAAAAAAAGTTTTAAAGCCAAAACCCAGACAGAGCAACTCAGCGCTCCTAAGCAAGTCCAGCCACCATCAATTCAAGGTCCTTATCCCCAAGCTCCTCTGCCATAAGCTCCTGAGTCTGTCCCCAGCTCTTTGCAGGGAGAGCCCAGAGCGCTCTCCTGTCTGCCCTTCTGCTGGGAGGGAGCCTCAGCACCTGGAAGCCTCCTTCCCAACCCGGTGCGCAGCCGGGCAGGGAAAGCGCCCATCGCATGGGTTCGCGGTACTCCCCCGGCCACGCCACGACAGCTGGCGCGGCTGGCGGGGGGCGGGGGCGGACGGGC